TATAAATAAGAAATAAAAAACCGCCCAACCATACATAATTAGTTTCAGTCAATGGAAGTAGTTAGAAAAAATTGAAAAAAAGTGTTAAAAAAAGCAAGATTTCAAAAACATTTTGTGGCCAAAATTGAACTTCTTTGAAATACTTTGATTTCGATAACTTCTAGAATTATTAAGATTTTTTTTATTTCAGACGGCTCTAATCAAAAGTTTTATTTTTGGTATACAAAATGTGTCATAAAGTCATATACAGGCGATGAAAAAATAATAAACGGTTTTTAAATTTTCGAATTTTCTTAAGTACATAATAATATTTAAAGAGAATAAAAATGCTCTTGACGTTGGAATATTGACGGCCTTTTATAAATTTTAAGTAAAAAGATTTTTTGTCGAGCGAGTCAAATAAGTGCAATTATTCTTAGCGGTAGTAGGTATATTTGACCCCAGAAACACGATTATGAGTTTTATCGCGAAATTTTTTTTGGAAATTTGGAATTTTTTGAAAAACCTTTTGTATTTTTTTTAGTTTTTAGTTAAAAACCATAATTTCTTAATAATATGGCAACATAGATAGGTAGTAGATTAAATTTAAAAGACAGAAAAACCCGAAAAGCTGCAGTGGTTCTCAAAATTTAAGCAAAAAATATTTTTTTTTGGAAATTTTTAAAGTAAAATAACTCAGTTACTTTGGAGTTATTTGAAAAACGGTAAAAAGAAAATATGGTTTTTTTATCGAGATCTACCAGCCCTGAAAATATTTGCACTTATTCAAGACTTGCCCTGTATAATACCCAGAAAATCGACAATTGATAACTTTCATATGAAATACGAGTAGCTCTAAAACTCTTAAAAACATAGTTTAAATAGGGCATTTGTAAAGCTCACTAGCTCTATATACAAAATAAATCATTTAAATCAATGCATGAACTATTCGAGGTGTAACGCGAACGTAGTCGCGGGAAAAACCTAGTTTATAATAACATCAAAATCAGTCAAAGTCGCAGTTTGCGAGATATTAACATATTTTAGTATGGGCGGCTATACGTGCCTCCCGGCGCCAATTTTTTTTCAGTTAGAAAAACGAGATTTGGTATGTTAGTATATGACATCAATTAGGATTGATTTACGTATTCAGTTGTTTTCGGTCATTTCCTATTTCACCGGAAATGACTACAACTTTTGGTTTTTAAATGGCACCCTCGGCATTTTTTTTTACTTTATTCGATAGAAAATAATACTCTAAATATATTAACATATCATATGACAACTATTGACATTTTCGCATATGGTCTTTCTGAAATTATAACTTGCTGTTCGTAACGAAAATTTGACTCGAAAAACCAAGTGTGTGGTATCACAATTATTAGTAAAAAAATGCTTTTTCCAAATATGCTAAGGCACCTTGGTTAAGAGTTAGTGAACAAAAACAATTGAATACGTCAATCAATCCTAGTTTATATCATATACTAACACACCAAATCTCGTTTTTTTATCTGAAAAAATAAAAATGTTATAGGGGTGAGCCACTTTTGAGACGCACCCGGTATAGTGATTAATGTATAGATTCTGATTAGTAATATTTATAGGTCAGACAAGATTAATCTGAACTAGTTTCAAAAAAACATATGGCGCAATTATAATACTACAACGTCGACAAATCGTGCATTGAACAAATTTTTGATAAAAAACTATTTGAGTGCAATTTATCAATATTAACTATTTAAGATAAAACGTACCTATATCATAATATAACAAGCAATTAGAGATGTTTATGAGAGTATTAAAATAAGTAAATGGTAAAAACATCTCCATAAACAAGATAAGCATCCTATTTACTCCAGGTTTATATTGTTATTGCTCTAGTTTTATGTTTGGTTTAGGTTATACCCTTGATTTCTCATTGTAGCCTTGCTTATAATACTAAGCGAATAGGTACAGCTATAAAGAAGCCATTTTAGAATGTGTAATATAACCGGAATGAAAAATATAAAAAATGAAATGGAGTTTAATTTTTTCAAAAAAAAATTGTGCATTTGATTTTTATTACAAAATATTGTTTTTCAATTCGTTTAGATTTAGTATAAATATATGTTTATTTAATACAGTTATATCATGAAATAGTATCGGGGCTTTTGTAGAAAATATGATTTTTGTATTTACTATTTCGTCCTTATTTGAATTATAACTAATTTCATTCAAATAGGAAGCATTCGACCAAGGTGTACTACCAGTCATGACTTATGCATGCGATACCTGGACACTTAAAGGTTGAATCTCACTATACCTTCCATTTCCGTTCCGTATCAGTTCCATACTTTTTATTGCACAGAGGGAGTCAACGATAGAGTAAAGTCCATTATCTCATTTGTTTCAAGGTTTACAAAAAAATATTAAATATAAAAGTTATAGAGATGGTTAAGATACGCATTTCAAAATTATTATATAGTATACAAGGTGCTTCAAAAAGTGTGGCGGCTTTTTTTTTAATGCAACACCCTATTTTTTATTTTATTTTTAGATTCTGCGTAACATTCCATAACTTTTTTATATATAATGTTATATACCTAAAATTAATAGTTTTTTGTTATATTTAAATTTGTTTAAACAAATGTTAGATTGCAGTGGGTTAAAAAATTGTCAATGATGGCATTGATTCTGAGGTTGGACAACTAATTTGGTAGGAGAATTTTATAGAGATATAGAAAAATACCTATGTAAAGATATTTTAGTTAGATGTTACAGGGTGTTCAAAATATATTTAGGAATTTCAACTACTTAAAATTAAAGAATTTCAATTTTTTTAAATGGTACACCCTACATATTATCATTTTTTCTGATAGGTTTTACCAAACTCTTCAACTTTTATTAAGAATGTCATATACCTATTTTTATTACTTTGCGATTTATTCCATTTTTTTTTATTTTTACCCATATTTTTAATACAATTGCGCTATAACATCATAGTTGCCATGAAAAAAGTAATAATTATCACAATTTCATGTCTGTTAAGCAAATTAAGAACAAAATTTGAATTTTAGTTTAATTTGTTGTAATAAGTATAAGTGGTAGAGATAATAGTTACAGATTTTCTTGAAATGAATTAGTCAATGTGATTGATATACACGGACAAACTTAGAAAACCACATTTTTTGGTTCAGTACTATATATTATATAGATAGTACTTTGCTAACTACTATAAGGATAGATGTATATTATCTAGAAAACATCTTCAGTGTGTAATGGGACGGTTTCGCGGTAGTAGTAATATTGGCTTTACCAAATTAATTATAAACCAGAATTACTACGAAAAAAAACTTTACTGTATGTTGAAGAAAATTCATATATCAGTAGTCTTCAGCAATTAGGTAATCGAGTATTACCCTAATCTGTGGCTATTCGCCCGGACGAAAAATCCCAAGTGTCATCTTTCACAATATAGAAATACACCAAGAAATTCAGGACTGCGATTTTAGTTTATTTGAGTAAGTTAATTAATTTTAACTAATACCAGCAATTGCAACTAATTATGAAGCTGCTTGTTAAATGATAAGTAATAAATAGTTTTGTTTTGTCATAGCAACTATGATTTTATAGGGTAATTGTATTGAAAATATGGGTAAAAATAGAAAAAATGGGAATAAATCGCAAACTATCAAAAATAGGGATATGACATACTTAATAAAAGTTGAAGAGTTTTGTCAAATCTATCAGAAAAAGTGATAATATATAGGGTGTCCCATTTAAAAAATTTGAGATTTTTTAATTTTAAATAGTTGAAATTCATAAATATATTTTGAATACCTTGTATAATTTAACTAAAATATCTTTACATATATCTTTTTTTTTCATCTCTATAAAACTCTCCTTCCAAATTTTGGTACTCCAACTTCAGAAACAATGGCACCACTGACAATTTTTCATTCAAATCCACCACACTGCAATTTAATATTTCTTTAAATAAATTGAAATATTACAAAAACTATTAACTTTAGGTATATAACATTATGTATAAAAAAGTTATGGAATTTTACGCAGAATCTAAAAATACAATAAAAAATAGGGTGTTGCATTTAAAAAAAACATATGTTATAGCCGCCACACTTTTTTGAAGCACCTTGTATACTCTACAATAATTTTAAAATGTGTATCTTAACCATCCCTATAGCCTTTATAATAAACATTTTTTTGTAAACCTTGAAACAAATAGGATAATGGACTTTACTCTATCGTTGACTCACCCTGTACAATTTATATCATTACGAAAGTTTTATTTTAAAAATTTGTATTTTTTGAAAAAGGTAATAGATTTAATTAAGAGGTAAAAGAATAAAAAAATAAATATTAGCAAAATGTTAACAGAGCTTGTACAAATGTAAGAACTTGACTTCGCTGTTTCCAATACGCTTCAGTCCGTCCCCCAAAATAATGTATGGAAGGAAAGGATATGGAACGGAAGGGACACGGAATGGATAGTGTGCATTGTCCTATTCATTTATATGATATAATATTTTATGTAAACGGAAAGAAAACAGAAGGGAGCTGATATGGAAGGTATAGTGAGAATCAACCTTAAAACGGACATTATAAGGAAACTGCAGGTCGCACAACGCTCAATGGAACAAAATATGCTGGGAATAACCAACGTTTATGTTGTCTTTTTATATACTGACGAGTATACTGATAACCAATATGCCGTTGAAAACAATGACTTAACTGCCAAGGATCAAAAATCTAACCGTACCAACCTCTAAAACACATAATTATTTTTTTCACAAATGGTAAAATAATATGTGAAATTATGTTTCTCTATGTAATAAAAATTAAAAAAACTGTAGACTAATTTAAAAAATATCATAAATTATTCATAACTGTTATTACGCCCTTAACCTTAATGCAACTAAGCATGCCACCCAATCTCAAGTAAAAATATTATCAATAATAATTCATACATCTTGCGTGCAAGTTCTAAATAGATTATTAATGTATAATCTTTTTTATTTCAGTTTTATGACCAAATTCAACTTCAGGATGACATTTTCTTCATTGTTCTTCGTGCCGGTTTTTATTATGGTGGTATGCTACACCCACATACTAATCGTCGTCAAGAAACAACAAAACAGGTGGAACAATCTTTCTCGTATTGGAAGTACCAGAAATAAAGGTAAGAAGATAGACGTCTACAAAGGAAATTATACCTCGTACACATACAAAAAACAAAATACTGTATCAGAGGAAAGTTCCAGGTGCTTTTAGTGATTCGAATAAAATTTTGAGGGTAAAAGTTACTGTAAGTGCTACATATTTTAATGCTAAAAAGTGTCGACAGATTTACCAGAGACGTGCATATGGTTTATCATTGGAATACTTTTCTAGAAAAAATGTACGCCACTGATTTTTTTTCTCTCATTAGTAAAATTGTGTAGGACATTTAATGCCTATTAAAAGTTGTATCTTAATATTGTAACGTAAGGTTCTGAATACTGGTCAATAAAACAGCTACTGTAGGAAATATGTGTGGTTTAGTAAAATTTCTACAAAGTTCTAAAATAAATTATAATTAATAAGTAACCGAGTTAATGATTGTAAATCAATGTCTTACCTAATACCAGGTTTATACCCCAAAATAATAAGAATATAATATATTTGGTAATATTTAGTCAAAAACCAAAGGCTTTTAACACTTGTAGCGGTATAAATAAAATGGCAATCACCTGAATTCCATTATTGCAAAAAAGCGAAATTTATAAATTGAACTACCAGGGCCATCTATATATATGTTTATAAGAAATCTAATGTTAACATACAGAAACCTGTTTTAATATTATATTAAATTAATAATTAAAATAGTATATTGTATTTAATATTTCCCACATATTTTATTAATTATGCTACAATATTTAGTCAATTTCGATCTCATTGATGAGATAAACGCAATTTTATTGATCACGATTAATGATTTTTTTTTCATATTTTTTGGTGCGACTACTTATTTAACACTTTCGCCAGTTAATTACATAAATAAAATATAAAATTTGCTATAAGAGTTGGATAAGGCAAATTAATAAAACTGCGTTTATCTCATCAAGAAAACAAATCAACAAAATAGTAAGAGACAACTTTTAATTGGTTTACACAGTTTTGCTAACAAGAGAAAGGGATGTCAGTGGCGCACATGTTTTTTTTAGAAAAAATATTCCAGTGATAACCATATACATGTCCCTGGTGAATCTGTCGATACTTTTTAGTACTAAATTATATAGTATTTATAGTAACTTTTACCCTCAAAATTTCATTCGAAACGCTAAAAACACTTGAAGAAAATAAATCGAAAAAACACAGAATTTAACCCCCTCTAGCTACGAAACAAAGCAGAATTGAAAATCTTGTTTTTACATGAGGAATATCATACAAGATTATTTGGAACACGTTTTTTCAAACACCGTGTATAAACCAATAAAATACCAAATAATAAAAAAGTATTCAGTTGGCTTGAAAATCAACGACGACATTCCCCATATGACTTGCAAAATGAGAGCGATCTTTATTACCAAGCTCTCTCTGATACCGTTTTTTTAACAGTTGAAATCATCAGATGATCAGTTAAGGATGGCTGCAACGACGCGGGACGTCCCTTTTCTATATAAAAACCAGCTGTTATGTTTTAACAGCAGGATTACGGGACCTCTAAATTAAATATAATTATCAGGAATCTAGTAAGATTGATATATTCTGCTTATAATTCCAACACACAGGAGTAAGATACTTTTCAATTAAAGTTAAGGGTATTTCTTGACTAGACATATTTTTTACATACAAGAATAAATACAATTCATAACAAATAAACTTTTAGTCAGACGATTAAGCTTGACCGGCTGCAGATCCAATACCACTCCTGCAACTCCCAGTGGACGATATGAACGTACAACTTTGAGAAACATCTCAATGTAGTATTGAGCAATAAAAAGGATTGGAAGAGCGAAACGCTTGCCCAGCAGTTAAAAGACCATACCATAACTTGGTATACTGATGCTTCCAAAACCAATACGGGAACAGGGATCGGAGTGTTTGGGCCGAGAACTAAATACTCCGAACCAATGGGCACTTACCCTAGTATCCTACAGGCAGAAATCTACGCTATCGAAAGATGCGTACAACTTATCTTAGATAGGAACTATCGGAAACAAGAAATAGCCATGTTGTCTGATAGTCAAGCAGCGTTAAAAGCGATCAACTCAGTATCAATCAATTCGAAATTGGTCAAAAAATGCATAGAGAAGCTGAATAAATTAGGCAAAGAAAACAAAGTCCTCCTACTCTGGGTGCCTGCTCACCAAGGGATAGAAGGCAATGAAAAAGCAAATAATCTAGCTAGGAAAGGAGCGAACATTCCACTAACTAGACCAGAACCGTTCTGCTTTCCAAGTGGTAACCAACTCAAGGCAGAACTCAAGAACTTAGAAGATTCCATCCGCAACCTGGAATGGAAATCTTGCAACGGTCTAAGACACTCGAATAAGTTTCTGAGGGCTTATGATCAAGAAAAATCACAGATCTTCCTGGGTTTAAGTAAGAACAATCTTCGGATTGTCACGGCGTTTTTAACAGGACACTGTCTCCTCAATGAACAGCTCAGTAGATTGAAACTAAGAAGAAACGGCGAATGCAGATTCTGTGGGGAAGATGGGGAAACACCATACACCTCATCACTGAGTGCGCCGAGACGACAACCATTCGTACCATGAATTTTGGTACGACTGATATTGGAGATGGAGAACTACCCTCTATAAAACCGTCCCAGATACTGGCTTTTGTCAAAGCCCTGGGACTGTATGATGAGTTATGACTCAAGAAAGGGGGACACAATGGATCTGTAAGGTCGCAGTGATTAACCCCCCTCCCACTCATTCTAATTGTAAGCTTGACCGGCAGAGCGTTGCCCACTTTTATATATTTTGTTTTAATCAAAATATTTAAGGAAAAAAAGTAAATGAATTATAAATATATAAACAGTTATTATTTACATCAACACAACTCACCGTTCTAACAGCACTTAAGGGACATAATGTGCCATTACTACCGCTTTCCCGTTCAAAATATTCTAATATAATTGCGATGAGTTTTACTAAGCTATCTTGTACACTTCGCACTAAAAGATGTTCTAAGAAGAACAATGTTCGACTGCAAAGTCTGCTAGTGAACATTTTTAAGCTTAAAGTATCACAACACTGCACTGTTTATTTAAACCAAAAACTCGTCATACAAAACTAAAGTTTCAAAACGACAGGCGCCGAATAGGGCCATGGTTGGCAACAATGAAGTAAAAAATCGCGCCCTCGATTACGTAACTAAAAGTTTAACTGATATCAAATATTCTATGGTACTTATCTCCATAGATTCTCAACTTAATATTATTACGGAAAAAATTGGAATGTGTAGAAACAAATAAACCTGCAGTTTCTTACTGTAAAGTAGTAATTAATTAGTGTTAATTATATAATCATTAGTCTATTTTTGTTCCAGGCAAGCCAAGCCAGAAAATATCAAGAGAACGCAAACAGCTTGAGGGAAACGTAAGGGCCATTTATACCACCATGTTAATCCTGGGATCGTGCGTCATAGGTTGGACTCCGGCCCTACTCAACTACATATTGGCTTGCGCCGAAGACTGCTACGTTTCAGGTGAAGAACTGATCCACCTCAACCGCGAACACGAGAAATTGATTTTGGTCATGAGACTGATCGACAATCTTCTAGTCATAATGAAGATGCTAGCGAATCCGATCATTTACAGCATACGAATGAAGGAAATCAAGGTAGTATAAATCAAGTTTTATATTTTTGCATAATAGTGTGATTTGGTTGCTCAACATGTTACTAAGCACGCTGCCAAGCATGTTGTTCAACGTGATTCTTAGTTAGATGACTGCTTTAGTTTAAAAAGTAAAATAAAAATAAATTTAACGATTTAAAAAATAAATGAGAATCATGTACAAAAAAATTATGAAATATTAAATTTTAACAATTCGTTTTAGAGCTGTGTAGTTCGTGAACGAACTAGTTACAATAAACTATTCCGACCCCGGAATGAAAGGAACTAGTTCCGGTTTCTCAAAGAATTAGTTCCTCAGGACCTATACCGGGATCGAGACTGTGACCGATATATAATAATATGCGACGGATCGGCCAACGCGATCGTAGCCCGATTCTAGGCAAATGTGGAGAGTGCCAGCTATGTTATCGGATTCGGATCCGGACCTAGAGAAACTAAATAAAAGACTAGTTTACGTACGGATCGGCCAGCGCGATCGTAGCCCGATGCTAGGCGGGAGTGGAGAATGCCAGCCCTATGTTACCTTTCCCGGACCGAAAGGACTGAGAGGAACTAGAGGAACGAATTAAAAGACTTACTTCACCGGAATCTATTCAATCGGCAGATCCGAGATATAATACAAGGCGACGACGATCGATGGATTCGGCCTTGTCTATTGCCACACCTGGCGTAATTACCACAGAAAATTGTTGTGGATACTGTTTTTGAATTTTAGTTTGTTCTATGAATATTTTATGGGAATGTTTCACTTTAGGTCCCTAAAATTAAGAAATATCTTATAAAACGAAGTATATATTCTGAATTTTTAGACAAAAACAAAAAGCTTGCAATTGCAAAAATGCAATTTTTCGTAAAATTTTCGTATTATTTGCTCCAATTGATTTGTGATATAGTTTTTTAAACTCTGATTTGAGTTTCTTTTTTATTTTTTTTATCTGCAATAAAACTTACCTATATGTTTTTAACATACACAATTACACGTCTCTTTATATTTGGTTCATTATAAAAATTATACAAATCACACTATAAAGTATTTGACTGACAACGAAAGCTCTGACTGACAACGAAACCCATTAGCAAGCAACGGGAATGTCAATGTTAGTCGGGAACTATTGAGAACTAAAGACCTAGGTCAATTCCTTCCTGGAGGAACTAGAACTAAGGAACTAGTTCCTCCCAAGGAACTAGAATTCCCACCTCTAATTCATTTATGTATTGTGATTGATTTGAAATTGTTAAATAATTGATTTTTTGAAAAAAAACAATAAGTTTTATTTTAATTTTTTATATTAATATAATAATTATTATTATAATTTTTTTTATTAATAGAAATTCTATATTTTTTTATCAAAGATAGAGTAATTCTGAGCATTTCTTTACTCTCAGCACAAATATGTTTTTCAATTCCCTATCTTATAAAAACCATCCAAAATTAATTTGGTTTCCTCCTTTTTCTTGTCTTAATTTTCTCTAGAAGAGGTCCAAAGTGCTGCAAAAACAAGAACCCGGTAAAATAACTCATTTATTTTTATTTTTTTAACAACCAATATAGGTACAAGAAGTCGTATAAAAATGAGAGTATTATTTGATTGTACAGATAACAAAAAAATTCTCTTGTGGAGATGCTTTGTGGCAAAAAAATAATCAGCGTTCCGAAAAAGCTTTATATCAATTTTGTTATTTCTTTCATATTTTCTTCTTAATCTTCCTTTTTTACAAAATGCGGAAAATAATACTGCAGATTTTGGAATATAAATTTTTAAATAGAATGCTGCATATTTTTTAGTTCAGTTTATTTGTCATTATTTAATTACCATTCAAAAAATAAAATGTGAAGTTTTATGACCTACTGTTTTTTTATAATTTGTAAACCAAATTTGTCGCTTTTTTAATACCATCTGAAAATTCTAAAATAATTATTTTATATCTATTAACCGGAAGTGACATAATAGTGATTTCTTCAAAATTTAGTCTACTAAATTTTACAATGTTATTAATATTGATAAAAATAAATTTGAAATATGATTGAAAAATATTGAAAAGTAAGTGTTTTATTTCTTTATACTATTTCAAATGGAATACCCTGAACTTTCCATCATAAAATAAGCAGAATATTGTTTAATCTTTCTGATTTATTAGGAACTGACCTACTATATCTAAAATCGGATATTTACTGAAAAAAAATTGTTGTTTTGTATTTTTTTTTGAAAATCGTTCTAATAGTAGACGTTTAAAACTGAAACCAAGAGAGTAGTAAAATGAAACTTCTACACCCTGTAAATACATTTGTACGAACGTTTTTACTTATTTTAATGCAGAATATGCTGCCGAAGTTTCCGGAATATAGTTCGGACTACCCTGTATACAGGTGCTATATATGAGTGCGTCTCAAAAGTGGCTCACCCCCTATATTTTTTTTATTTTTTCAGAAAAAAATACGAGATTTGGTATGTTAGTATATGACATAAATTTGGATTGATTGACGTATTCAATTATGTTTAGGTCATTTCTTGTTTCACCGGAAATGCCTACAACTTTTGATTTTTAAATGGCACTCTCGGTATTTTTTTACTTTATTCCATAGAAAATGACACTCTGAATAGAATGGCATATATCATATGCTGGTATATATCAACTTTAAAGTTCTCTGTTTGAGATGTTTAATCTGTTGAATAAAGTATACAGAAAATAATAATCAAAAATCAATAAAGAGACTTATAAAAAATAGACAATAAATTTTTAAAGCAATATAATATCTTAATCTCTAATTAGTCTTCCAAAAAATAGTATAATCCTCTTAAGCAGTACGAAGTTTACCAATCTCAGCCAATATTGCTCCTCCAAACATTGCCGTCGCCGACTAAACTATCTTAACAGCTCTTGATACTTAGTCTACCATTTTATAACAAATTAACTATTGATTTTAAACTAAATTAACCGAAACAACACAAACCAAATTAATCCGATATTGTTTGTATAGAGTTGTTACTAAATATGGATTATTAGCTATAATTAATGATAAAGTTTGGCTTATAATTTACGAAGTGACGGTAGTGTTAATATTTAATTTGCCATTTACTGCGGCTGACACTACTCAATTATTACATTTTGAAATATCTAAAAGCCGATATAGATGGGGAGTAGGTTTATAGATATTGTAATTTGATACATTCCAAAGTGCTTAATAGAAACAGCAATTAAATATTAAACATGTCAATTTGAACCACATGATTCAATTATAAAGTTTTATAAATGTTCGTATTGCTAAAACGTAATTTAAAATTAATTTTGTTACGTTAAGCAAATCCAGCACAAAAATAATCTATACTAATATATAAAATCCTTAACTGACTGACATACTGATTAATCACGATCCTGCTCAAACCACTCAACATAAGAAGCTCAATTTTGGCATACAGGTTGATCCGAGGGTGTAGAGGTTTGTTTCAGTTCCAAGAGGGTGAAACCACCCCTCAAATATTACAATATTTTTTATTTATAAAACGGTCAAGTTTCCGAAAAAACGCTTAAACACGTATATTTTATTTTGCTTTTTTCCATATTTTAAGATTTTATAAAAATGTATACAGGGTGTTTCGAAAAATCTGGTCATTGATTAATCACGATCCTGCTTAAAGCGCTTGACGTAAAAAGCTGATTTTTGGAAAACAGATTGACTTTAGGGTGTAGAGGTTTGATAAGAAGGGATTTTTCGAAACTCGAATTCTAAGGGGTGAAACTATCCCTCAAATGTTAAAATATTTTTTATTCAAAAACCGGTGAGTTTTTCGGAAAAACTCTTAAACACGTATATTTTATTTTCTTGTTTTACATATTTTAAGATTTTTTAAAAAATTATACAGGGTGTTTCATAAAATATGACCATTGAGTAATCACGATTCTGCTTAAACTGCTTGACGTTTGAAGCTGATTTTTGGCAAACGGATTGACTGTGGGTTGTAGAGGTTCGATAAGGAGGGGTTTCTCGAATCTCAAATTCCAAGAGGGTGAAAACGCCCCTCAAATATTACAATATTTGTTATTTAAAAAACGGTCTATAGTTTTAAACGGTCTATTAGTCTAAACGCTTAGACAAGCATAATTTATTTGGTTTTTTTACATATTTTGAAATTTTTTAAAAAATCATACAGGGTGTTCCAAAAAGTTGGGAAATTTCTTAACCACGATTCTGCTTAAACTGCTTGACGTAAAAAGCTTATTTTTGGGAAACGGATTTTTTGAAAGTCAAATTTCAACGAGATGAAACTACCCCTCAAATATTACCAAGTTATATAATAATATCGTCAAATTGTTTTTCCTCATGCTGACATAAATGTGAGAAAATTTTATCCAGTTTGTATGTTAATGGAAATTCTTGCTTTGCTTTATCATCACCATTACAAACGGTACACGCTAGTATTATATATTTATCTACAACCGTTTAGTTATAACGTTTTTACATTACTATTTTTTAGTATTTCAGTTACGTTATAAGATTCATAACACAACTAGTGGTGTTATGAATCTATAACACAACCAGTTTTTATGATAATCAAAAACAACTACGAAAAATGTGACAAATGTCATAGTTAAAGGTGTTAAAGTTGGGCGACTGATAAACGAAAATTAAAACAGCGTTTTCTTATTTGTCGGTTGTAGTTAAAACGTTGTACATGACACGTGCTTTTAAACATGATTACAACACTCGTGTGATTAGAACGACTCGGTCTACGACCTCGTCGTTCTAATCGTTCACACTCGTTGTTGTAATCATGTTCATAAATACACTTGTACTGTAAATAACAGAACTATTATCTCAGCTATAAATATAGTACTCTATTATAACACTGAGTTCTAAATTAAAATATATACACACAGATGCAAAAACAGCGCAACGGAATTTTTTTTTCGGCAAGCTTGAGTGGGTGTGAAGTGTTTATATTTTTTTCCATAGCAACTGTTAAAATTGCCTTATATCTATCAAAAATAGTAGATAAAATAGTACTTTAACCGCAAGGGTAGATTAATTGATACTTTAACAGCGAGGATAGGTTAAAAATTTTATTTCTTCCCGCACGTTTTTTAATTGCTTCCTTTTTGAAAATGTTTGTATTCCTTTTCATAAGTTATTCGGGATTTAAATGGAAGTAGTTTGGATATGGTGTTGTCGCCTCAGCCTGAATCTGAATATCTGTTGGTAGTTTACTTATTTTGTTTTGAACCATTTCTGGCTCCAATTCAATCAGCAATCGACACAAAAGAAAATTAAAAAATATTGACTCAAAACTGACAACTAAAGAGACAGCTTCATTTATTTGTCAAATTACATAGAAACCAACGCCAACCCAGCACAATTTATTTCTACTCGTAATAAATTCCTTGAAATAATAATTTTTGGATATTTTTTAAAACTTAACTAGCTATGGAAAACAATATTGTTTTATACACGACGATAAAATTGCATTATCGTCTCCCGAAATTAATTCACTCGCGATTTCATCGCTCGTGAATTAATCTTTTCGGTCGACGATAAAATACCATTTTATGGTCTTGTATAAAAAAATAACTATTATTTTATGATTTACTATTTTCATTATTTTTTTAACAAACTGTGTAAAAATTGTATATAAATCTTACCCATATAAACTTTAATTCATAAACTCAGTTGTTTATAAAGTTTAATATTTGGCTGATTATACAGGGTTAATTAAAGTGTTGTTTTTTACCTTAATTTTAAAACAACCCGTACAATAATTTCGTGAGTAACTTTTCTTAAAACATTATTTTTCGATCAAAACCACGTATCCTGAGCACTTTGTTGAACAACACATGCCTTGGTTAATTTTTAAAAGCCATAATAAGGCTAAAAATAAAAAATATACAACACTTAAGCTTGACCAAAGATTGGTCCATGGCGTTTTTTGCATCTTAGTGTATTTTCATAACAAAATAAAACTTAGCATTACAATTAACAAGCTTTATAATTACAGGATGGAACTAAGAGGATGATGTTGGCGATATCTGGCTTGTTCTGTCGATCCGACAGAAACCATCTCAACTCCTCCGGGTACTACTATCAATCCAGACTACAAAATAGTTCCGGAACTAGTACTCTCCAAGTCCAAATGTCCTTGAAATCGAGTAGAAATGGCAACCACGTCACACTGAATAGAGAAGCCGAAAATAGTTTTTTGTAATGTAAAAAGGTACGTAAGTATCATGATATATGTGAAGCCAAAGTTTAGATAGTTGCTAGGATAAGTAGATATGCAGCAAGAAAGTATATAATGAAATACAGGATGTCACTGGCTGGAATGGCTGTAGCCAGTTTCAAAAAAATTACAATATCTAAATTGAATATTTGTGTATCATACCTTCCGGAATTATGAAAAATTAGATTAAATTTACTTATTAAGGATTTTATAAAATCGGAGACGGTTGCTGTTAATTTCTAGTATATCTGGAAGTGCCGCCATGTTAAACCAATTTTTAATGGAGAGATTTAATTGTGAAATATTAAAGTACAAAAAGGTTCAATCTAGGTATGGTAGTTCGGTTACAAACTCATAATAGAAACTCAACCACGGACACTCTGTATAAAAGCTATTTTTATCAAATTTTTCTAAAAAGCACTAAATGTTATATAAAATTTAAAATAATGTTTTATTTTACATAATATGATCACAAAGAAATATAATTAAATGGTTTGATATCACAATTTAATTTCAACTGGTATACTCTACTTGTGAATAAATATTTTATTTTTATAAAAAAATACAAAATAAAAGAATTACTAGAAGTAATATAAAACTATTTGTATACTTTTAGCTAAACAGTACCTAACCGATTATTTAAGAATAAACACAAATGTATACTTGAATTCAAAAATATCGTTTGAATCAATTCATCTTATTCAATAGGACTCGTATTCGAGACTTACTTGTAAAAACTACATAAATACAAATTTAAGAACCACCAAATCTCTAGGTACTATCAATACATAATCCAAGTGTCATAACTCTAATAAAAGTTGTTTGAAAACCATTGAAAAACCAGAACATAATTTCTTAACAGTTATTATCATGAGTATGCAAGTTTTTGTTTATAAATTAATTTGTTAATGTTCGTTAATCATAACCCAAATAATCTGTAAAACATTCTCTATTCTGTTGTCTTAGACAACAAAGATAACTGAATAGGGAAAATTTCAGATGTCAGAACAATCTTCTTTATACAGGATGCTACAAATTCGAGGTATGAGCATTGGTATCTCGGTAACCGTAATAGATACGAACATGGTTAAATTGGGGCAAAGTTGCGCTTTAGGATGTTCACCAAGATACCATCAAAAAAAATTTAAAATTTCAAGGATTGCTGAGTTTTTGGAAAAAACGGATTTTTTTTAAAATAATATCTTTAAATTGCTGACCTGGATATTATTTATTTGAATCTTTGAATTGGCTCGATTTTTCTTATTCAATGTTAATTGGCGCTGATCAATATTGTTTTTTTTGCGATGAATGTAATCAGATTAAAAACCAGAGTCGTACTTGAAATTATTTTAAATAATAATTAACTAGTTTTGTTTTTGTTAAGGTACCCAAAACAAAAAAAAAGTATCAAGTGTGGCATATTATTACACTCAGAAGACCGAGTTCTTTCAAAGCCTAAAATAAAAAATGCAGGTCCGTATTTTAAAAAAATTAAGTTGGCCTCTGTATCTCACAAATTATCAGCTAATTTGAAAATCTAAAAGTACTATCAGATAGCCCTAACAAAGTGGCTATGAGAATGTGTAATTAGTTTTTTGATTTTCAAAAAAGTAACGACAGGAAAAAATAAAATTGATTTTCCAAAAAAAATCCGTTTTTTCCAAAAAACTCAGCAATCCTTAAAAAAATGTTTGATGGCATCTTGGTGAACATCTCAAGGCGCAACTTTGCCCCGATTTAACCATCTTTGTATCTATTATGGTTTCCGAGATACCAATGCTCGTACCTCGAATTTGTAGCACCCTGTATAATATTATAGATATCTTACACATTAACTGATTAACAGATAAAACCTTCCTAATTCGATGACAATTGACTTTAGCCCAAATTTTTAGACTCGTAGCTTGTAAATACTTCTAAATTGTATTAGTTAATTGTAAATGGATAATGTTACTATAAAAAATGTGCAATGGGGAAATAGAGCTTCTTTTTATAATGTAAAATATAAAATAATTTAGATTATATTTAGACTAAATATAAAAGTATAAAATATGACGGGTCGAACCAGGGTTAATATCTAAAATAAGAATAGTTATAAGTTATAGGAGGTATATAGTTTAAATGTATGAATTGGACAATTAAGTAAGCTAAGTAAATGGGTTAACAATGGCAGATTATGGAAATCCGTTCAAAATATACTAAAAAACTCAGTATCTTGAATAAAATAAAACTAAAGTTTGTCCAACGAGTCAGAGAGGATTTCGACAGACGACAATCACAAAATGACATAAAATTCAATTTATTTGTGACAAAAAATGACAGACACAACTGTCACTGTGATGTATCATCTCGTTGGACAGACTATATTTTAGCACTCTCTGACATGATAAAATTACTTCTATACTAATATTTGTATGAAGAAATATTAAATATCCTAGTTGATAAAGATCAACTAGAAATATTTTCTTTCATTTAATGTCGTAGTGATGCACATATTGGTGTGTAGGGATCATTAGCAAACAAAATATAAGATTTTAAAAAAATATACCGCCAATTTAGGTTTTCTTTAGTTCTTGAAAAAATATAGCATAGATTTTATTCTTTTCTCAGACTGTCTTGTCCATTTTTATTCTAGTTTTTCGTAATAAGAAGTTTATGTGATATCATACAACTAAATAATGTGAACTGATTTCTAATTATTAAACGCAACTATAAAGCTTTACTGTATCAACAATCTTGTGTTAAAGGCGATATTACATGGCAAGTAAAACTCTTTTGTGTTGTATACAGGGTGGTCCGAACTGTATTTCGGAAACTTCGGCAGCATATTATGCAGATAAAATAAGTAAAAAAGTTCGTATAAATGTATATCATAAAATTCTTAGTTTCGAAGATAGAGGGTGTAGAAATTTCATTTTTATTTCGATTTTTTCCAAATAATTTATGAAGTAACGTCAGTATTTGAATGAAAATTGGTATCTGGGAGTTTTTTGACATAGCGTACTGGTTTGAAGACTAATAACATTTCGTCCGTACCTGTATAAAATTACTGAGTAAAAAATATACATCTACGACGTCTTTTACGCGAAAAAGGTCAGTAGGTATTAGGACACTTGAGACAGACAGCTACTAAAACAGAAATAAACAGGTTTGAACAAAAAATGAACAGGTCTGTTGTTTTAAACTAAAAGCTGTTCAAAGCAGTTCAAAAGCGGTTCACCACGGCTCAAACCTGTTTATCCTTATTTATTAACGTATTTTACATGTTCTTATCTGATTGGGTTCCTGGAATTCGGTGTCTGGACCGGAAGTGGCTGTCTGTCTCAAGTGTCCTAATACCTACTAAGGTCTCTTGGTAAAAGTCGCTACGAGTAATAGTTCTCGAGATATTTGGAATCGAATTTATCAATACCTGTCATTGACATAAATTACTTGTTGATTAAATAGTTATTAGACTGAATTCATAAATTTGAAATGTTTTTGTGCCAAAAGTTCAGCAGAAACTGTTCTATCATCATTTTTTCGCAGAAAACTTTATGAATAATTTAAAAAAATAAAAATTTGCCAAATTTATTATTTCAGTCAAATACCTAACTACATACAGGGTGGCCCATCGAAAACGTTCCGCAAGCCATAACGGCCAGGGTAATTTTTTTTCAGAAAATTCAAAAACATGTCAATTTTGTTTGTGAGGGGGACAACTTTTGCCCCAAAAATGATTCCAAAATCTTCAACCCTCTAAGCGGTGGTGTCATCCTCCAATTTTTTTTCAAATGGGAAGGGGGGTCAAATGGTACCGCAATGAAAAGGGCTTTCTATTCTCTATACTTTCCCGCTTCGTTTTTGAAAATCGGTCGAGTCATTGAGAAAACTTGACGGATTGAAATTTGAAAAGTTTATTTAAACATTTATCAGAGTAAATGATATGGATAAATTCCTTCGACCAATTTGCTGTTTTTTCTGATTATTTCTAGATGTTTACGCATTTTTTCACTTGCCACAAGGTTGAACGATCAGGTGCGGTAGTTGCTAGATAGCTGTTCTGTGACATGCGTTGAAGTTCTTCTCAATATCGTTAAACTTTTTAACAATTATGGTGTACTCACTTGCAAAAAAAGTGGATATAGTCGAACTTTATTTTAAAAATAATGAATGTGGCAATAGGGTTGCGCAGATATTCAATGAACGCCATCCTGACAAACACCTTTATGGCAAAATTGTTCGCGAGTTAGTAGCAAAATTTGGCGAAACTGGTTCCGTTATGAATAAAAAGAAGCAGAGGGAAAATCCTAGTAAATGAAGCTATGGAGGTGTTCGTATTAGGCCAAGTTGCCATGGGTAGTACGCTGAGTACAAGAAAATTAGCCAATGTGACCGCGACCGGCGTGAATCGTTCGCACAAGTGTCCAAACGATATTAAAAAAACACAAGTTCCACCCGTACAAAATTCAGTTGGTACAAGAACTCAACGAAGACAATTTTGATCGTCGCGGGCTGGTATTTTTGGAAATTCTATTATAGGTCAGTTTAACGATATTGAGACCGTACCTGATCGTTCAACCTTGTGACAAGTGAAAAAATGCGTAAACATCTAGAAATAATAAGAAAAAACAGCAAATTGGGCGAAGGAATTTATCCTTATCATTTAGTCTGATAAATGTTTAAATAAACTCTTTTCAAATTTCAATCCTTCATATTTTCTCAATGACTCGACCGATTTTCAAAAACGAAGCGGAGAAATATAGAGAATAGAAAGCTCTTTTCACTGCGGCGCCACTTGACCCCCCTTCCCATTTGAAAAAAGTTGGGGGATGACACTCCCGCTTAGAGGGTTGAAGATTTTGCAATCATTTTTGGGGCAAAAGTTGTCCCCCTCACAAACAAAATTGACATGTTTTTGGATTTTTGAAAAAAAATATATCCTGGTCGTTATGTCTTGCGGAAATTATCAAACAATTGCCAAAAAAAATCTTCTGTTAAAATTTTGTTGACAGTATTTAGGTTTCTGAGAAACCATCAAGCTTCACTAACGCCCTTAGAGCATCAATAACTGTTTAAAATGGATTAAATTAAAAAAAACAAATTTAAACAAGAATATTATACCATTTAAAAAAAATATTTAGAAAATATAGAAGAGCATTACTTCAAACATGTAATCTCGTCTCCAGATCTTATATTATTATTGTGTTTTACATACACATATAGTTAGACTTGTTTAAGACTGACTAATATATTATAAAATTTAAGAGTAAATGTTAAGTATTTATAAATTATGTAAAATTAGTCCTCTATAAATGTTTGTATATGTTCTTTCCAATATACCTTTATATATTCATTATTATCAGAGTATATGTATATTTTAGTTATTTTTGTAATAAAATAAT